TGCTCTGTCTCCCTTCAAAGTTTAAACGAAGAGAGATGGAAATTGTCAAAGTCAGCCAACGAATGTTTTCAAACTGGGAATTGTATAGGGAAAATAATAATAAATTTATAAAAAAAATAAAAGAAAATATATATTGGAAAGATTGGCGGAAGATTCGAAATTGAAAAAGGAAAATTCGTCGGGATTAATAGCTGGAGGAAAAGATAGACTTTGAACCAAGAAATATCCTCGGATATGATCTGATGCATGCAGTTCTATCCTAAACCCTTGACAATGGTGATACACATTGGCCCGTCGGTTTTTTGGGTTAACTGTGGTCCGTTAAACAACGATAGAAGAGTCAACTCTGGGCCGCAGGTAAAAGTCTAGATTCTAGAAGGTGTATAAAAAAAAAAAAAGCAGAATACATCAACTCTTTCCACTGTTGACCGTAAATACAAGTAACAGTCAATAGGATTATTAATTTAATAATGTAATAATATTTTTAAAATAATTTTATTTTTTATTACTTTTAAAAAGTATAATTATATAAATTATAATTTTTTAATTAAAATTTTTCTTTTTTTAAAAAAAATTATTTTCATTCGGCCACTCACGACAATCGCTCTCCAAGGAAGCTTAGGGAGATTCGGTTGGTATAAGGGAGCACTGTTGATCGGTTTGAGAGAAAAGAAAATAGTGAAAAAAAATATTATAGATATTTTATATTTAAATATTAATATCATTTATATATAATATTTATTTTAAAAATTAATGTATTTATATATAATTATGATTCAAAGTTAAAAATATCAATATATTTTATCAAAAAAAATCAAAGCACATAAATGAAAAAAATAAAAAATTCTCACTTTCGATATTAATATCTTTTTAAACCCGATTTTCTCCTTTTTTTTAATCATATTTTTAAGCTGCTTATTGTGTTACTTTAAAATCTCAAATTCTTGATCGATTTTGATTAGGTTCATTTTGAGATTAATAGTTTTTTAAATTCAATTTTTTTTTATCTTATTTTTCACTGCTTATTATGTTGTTTTAGAATTTCGAATTTTCAATGGATTTTGATTAGGTTCTTTGACAAACTCAAATTGACTTTCCCAACTATAACTGTGCGTGGAAGTTCAACCAGACATGCCGAAAACGGAAGCGGACAGGGCTCCGCCAGTCAACTTCATAATTGTAAAAGCGCTGCAAATGCGTAGGTTAGAAAATTTTGTGAAAACCCGAATTTAAACATCACTGATTTAATAATTTTTTAAATTTAAATTATGTAATTTTTAAAATTTTAAATATAAATTATTAATAATAATAAAATAAAAACATCACAATATTAATACAAAATAAAAGGAAAAAAAAATCTTATAAAATTTTCTTTTCACTGTTGAAATCGTAAACTTGATCGATAACTATACTTTTAGTTTATAAAATAAATAAACTTGAAATTAACTTATTAAACATATAAAAACATAAAACAAGACAAACCAAATTCTTCAACAAAATAATGTTTGCAATTACATATAACAAAAGAGAAAAGAAAACCCTTTAAACACCACTCATACCTTAAACAAAAGCAAGACCACGATAGCCCGAATGGTCCTCTTCTTTCTTTGGCTGCAACGTGAACTTCTCAATACATCTCATGTTGCCAAAGCCATATCTGACTACACAATTTCGAGAATCCAATGACCAAAATGGCCCATGAAAAATACTGGAAGCTGCTGGCTGCCCCTTAATTTCTCAAGTTAAACTCAAGGGGAAGATCAGCAGAGACGTTGGAGGGTAACGAGAGCTTGTGAAAGCTATACTTTTCTTTAAAACATTTTTTCTAATCACAGTATAACAGGGACGACGTTAGTTAGTTTTTATTGAGAGGCCAAACACAGAAAAATAAAGATTAAAAATTATAAAATTTAATATGTTAAATTCAATCAGAAATAAAAAAAAATTGATAATGAAAATATAAAATTAAATACAAAACTATAATATGTAAAATATAAATTATTAAATTTGATATATAAAATTAATAATTTTTTTATATAATCAAGATCGTTTAAAGATTATATATTCAAGATAATTTTATTTTAATTAAATATAAAACCTAAAACACATAAAAAAATACTCAAGTTAATTTCTTTTTACATAATCAAGATTAATAAAAAAATAATACATTAATGAAATTTTAAATAATAATATAATACTACAATTTATTAATTTTTAAAAATTAAAATCATAAAAAAATAAAATTTATGTAACAAAAAAAAGAAAAACATGATAAGTAGAAGTTACCATATATAATATAACAAAAAATATATATATATGATTGATGGTTTGAAAAAATTTGATAAAAAAAATCTATAAAAACTTGAAACATATAAATAAATAGAATAGAAATGAAAAAAATAAATAAAATAATAATATAAATTAAAAAATTAAAAAAAAATAAAATTGATTGAGATATGTAAAATTATTTTATTATTTTATTATTTATATTAATTATTAAATAAAAATTATTTTAAAGAGATCATTAAAAGAGCTAGCCCATGCATTCCACACGGACGCCTTTCTACTTTTTTTTTTTTCTCTTTTTCTTTCATCAATGTTTTTTTTCTATGATCTCCACGTGGCTAGAGGAGGAAGCTCCGTTGAACCTTTCTTTTACTTATTTAATGGAGATCAATTATGAAGGTGCCGGCCCTGCAGTATACTAAATTGATTCTATTAAATATTAGTTGATATAATAATGGCTTTATCTTCTTGGTAGATGGAAGGAACCTGTCAAATTACAAGCCAACAACTGCTTAATTGATGATTAGCTTTTGAAAAATTAATGTTAAGAAGAAAAAGAGAGAATTCGAATCTTTATACAATAACTCCATAATTAATTTTAAATAAAATATAATTGTTATTTCATTATAAAGATTATAGTACTTGACCTGGAATATATCCCACATTCAATTTACAGGTAAAATAAAAATCTAATTTTTATATATACAAAACAAGCACACATATATTGCATGCATACATATAAAAATGTGAAAGAAAATTATCAAAATAAAAATATCCAATTCTATCTCATGAAAAATTAAAATATCGAAAAGATGACTCGTTTTATTTTTGTTATATTATTATTCTAATAAAGTAAATATTAAGAGCTTGTGATAAAATGATTCTTATCATATCTTATCCATTTAAGCAAGTTGAGCATAGAGTACCATTTGATCTTATAGTTGTTACTTATGTTTATGAAAAATAAATAGTACTAGTAATAAAGCACGATAATATATTAATTGTGTTTGAAAATTTAAATTTCAAAATGATTGAATTTCGATTCGATAAATTTATTGAATTTATTTATTCAGGTACCATCGAAATATATACATAAGTCACATATGATCAATCAAAATACGAATTTACAATTCCTATTTCTTTGCTCATGGTTTACCAATTGATCATCCTTGTATGGTCGTACTTCAAAGCATCCTTTGGCACTCTTCTAAAGTGAATTATAAGGCATATAGGTTCCTAGAATTCTATCCCACATGATGAAGAATGGTTGTGCAAAGTTGTATTTGCCACCATTGAGCTGATGGTGGACATCAAGGTATGCAGAATGGTTCCTAAACAAGATTTGAATGAGGTTTCCAGGAAGCCTCATCCCGCGGTGGTCATCCACTGTTTTGAGGGAGTCAAAAGAGAAGAAAAAGATGGAGGTTCGAGGAGACATGCCGTAGAGGATAAAAGACAGAGCCCCGTCCACCGTGTCGACGAGAAGCCCTTCCACGGGATGAGTGTATTGAGCTCCAGATGAATAGGAAACAACAATCCGGTGATGCAGGGAATGAAAGTGCCGGTACAAGAACTTGTTGTGGTGCAGGTATCTGTGCGTAAAATACATCCAAGTATCCACAGCCAGCATGGCTACAACAAACTGTCTAGGTATGACAATAAGGGAAGATGGTTGCCTTGGAGAATCCCCAGCATTACCACTTCCTCCTGTCACCTGCACCAAGCAATAAGGATCGAGTTGTACTTCAAATTAAATTCATAATTCTCTATATAAATTGTGCATAAGCCTAACCATGGTAGGCACATTATTTCTCACATGGATGAATTTAAGCAAAGTAATTAATTTTAACAAAGGATAAAGTCTCAATTTTGTGGTACAAAGATCTATCCATCTACTTGCAAATTCAAAAGAGTGTTTTATCTACAATTATTCATTTTTTTCAAAGATGGAAGATGGTTTTAAACAATCATAGAGATGACAAAAAAAATTCATTGTTTAAAATTATAGATAAGTAATGGGAATCTACACTAAATCTTTATTATTAAAAGGTATCCTTACTCTTTAAAAGATTAATCCCTTTCTCTCCCACCAAACCCACCAATTACTTCACCTAATGATAATTTGCTATCCCATTTATAATTTTTGCGTGGGCTGATTATACATAGCTAATCATTCAATCAATTTGTTCGTTAAAATGTTGTGCACAAATTGAAACAAACGAGTTTGATAATCTCTCTCCATATGTAAGTATTGTACATTAATTGTGAATCAAATATAAAATATATATATATAATGAGAAAAAAATAAAAACAAATATATCTTATGAATAATTCACCATGGAATCCTCTAATTTACCAACAATTTACATGGACGAAAGAAGAAGAAGAAAAAAAAAAAGAACCCTCCACTCCGCATTACCAGAAACAAAAAGGAAGGCCCCCATAGCCTGACGAGTTTAAGGTTCTTTAAATTTGAGGCCTTTCTAAAAAACTTAAGAAAGAGCAAGAAACAATCCCATACCAGCCCAAGCCAGGACAAAAGGCCTCCCTGGTCATATTTGTACTCATCTCACAGCCCAATAGAAGCCACTCGAATCAGGCATGTAGGCCTTCAAGCCTGAATTGGAGGTTCAACGGGAAACTTTTGCGCAAACTGATGGATGATCTTGGTTAAATTATTAACAAAACATAAACAATTTCAGAGCAGCACAATGTTCACAAAATAGTAGTAAATTCATAGTTTCACATCCGGTTCTTACCTTGTACACATACTCTCGAATAGACAGTGATTTTTAATATAAAAAACCAACCATTTATTCTCCTTGCAATTTTCATGACAAATCAGAGTTCTTATCCCAAGTGAAGCTACTCTGCGCAACAAACAAAAAAGTAGAAAAGAGTGGAGGGCTACGGATAGCAATTTCTCAATCAATCGTTCTTGCACTCTTTGGCAGGCCTCAACTCGAAGCCTCCTTCTTCTCCTTTCTCAAGCGAATAAGGCATGTGTGTCCCCAGAATTCGATCCCACATGGCGAAGAACGGTTGGGAGAAGTTGTATTTGCCACCGTAAAGCTGATGGTGGAGATCATGGTAGGCGGTGTTGTTCTCAAAGAAGATGTGGAAGGGATTCCCAGGGAGCATCAACCCGCAGTGGTCGTCCACTGATTTCATGGCGGCGAAGGAGGAGAAAAAGGCTGAGGTTCGAGGAGACATACCGGAGAGGAAAATAGCCAACGACCCACCGAGGATGTCAAAGAGAAACCCTTCGATCGGATGACTGTAGATAGCACCGAATGGGTAGGGAACAACCAGCCGATGATGCTTGGAGTGGAGGTGACGGTACAAGAACTTGTTGTGGTGCAGGTATCTGTGAAGAAAATATTGGTAAGTATCGAAAACCAGCATAGCTACAACAAACTGTCTAGCTATAACAGTAAGGGAAGGTGGCTGCCCTGACGAAGCCCCGGCGTGACTTCCTCCTGTCATCTGCACCAAGTAAGGTTCCAGTACAACATAAAATCATGATTAATCTAAAACGTCAAGGAAACAAGGTCCAGCTTCTGGAACTGGAAAATTTCAAAGTTTATCCAAGAATTATCCATTGCTTATGCAAAAGAATGAGCTCAAATTCCATATAATCTTGAAACTTTGGATCATTCCCTTATCTTTATTATTCGATTTTAATGCTTTCATTACTTATTTTGACACAGGACTTTTTCCAATAATATAGATATCTATTGGCTTTTTTTTTTAATATCAATGTACAAACTTTGCTGAGAGAGATTTTGACCCTAGCTAGCCCTTTTCTTATATGTATACATTAACTATTGAAGTTAAATATAAAGTCTAGTGTTGTGTTTTATCAAAGAGAAAGTATATACGGGTTAATTCAGTTGATAAGAATACGAAAGTTTGTTCAATTATAAAAGAAAAAAAACTCTTTTTAATTTCTTGTTAAGTGAAAATAAAAATTATGAATGCATCAAGTTGAAAATATGTCTGTTCGTGTTAACGTCTAACCTTAATCAAGACATTAAAAAAATGTTAATGGGTCGAAATCAAATTTTCACCAACAAAGTTTGAGTGACTAGCTACTCATACCATATACAAGAGGTTCGTCGCAATGAACTGACGGAATTGTTGCCAAAGGACGCCTTTGATGACTGTCTCTTTGGAAGCAAAATTCTTCTCATCCTCGTCTTCCTTGGGATGCAATCTGTAATTGTCACAGGACCCTAAAGCCATGTACATTCCTCCATAAACCCAGTACACAACAACTGGCATCAAACTGCCCAGCACCATGTCATAAGATATCCCCAAAGAAGCCATATTATCACACTACACAACCTTTGGAAAACCAAAACAAAAAGCACATATAAAAATTTTGAACCTCCCCCTCTTCAACTTATAACTAAGAGAGAGTTGCTCAAGGGGTCCACGAAGCCATAAATAATTTCGGGGATATAATGTACATTTTGGCCATTGAACTTTGCTCGTTCATATGTGTATTTCCAACCACTAAATATTTATCTAGTCCAATCAATCCATAGAATTATTATTTAAAAAATGTTAAAGTGACATTTATTTTTTATTTACAAGTTATGTCATTGTGTTTACTCGAACATAACGTCACACAATCAACATAGGACAAATTAGTAATATTTTGATTAAAGCAATTAAGATGAAAGAATATCATTTATATGCAAATTATAAATTAATTAAAATAAAAATTATAATCGAATATTTGATTCATTAATAAATACATCTATTTCCTATTCAAATAAGTCTAATTCCACTCTCTTTACACCAATGGAAAGCTGGTAAAGTAGCTAAGAGGAACGCAATTCACCATAGAAAATACTAGAGGCTATGCAAAATTGCAAACATCCAAGTGAGCAAATACTATTTTTGTGGATGGCACTGATTTGTCAGCAAATAATTGATCAATTCATTGATGGCTTCTGACCCAGAAGTAGGGAAAAAAATAAAGAAGGCTTGTCTATACCCTCTGCCCAAGTTGTCCCGGATAATAAAATAATTATATGGTATTTTTGATTTATCGTATTCTAAAATTTTTTACATACATGTTACATACGAATACATTGTTAAATTCAATCAATAATTTGTTTAAATTTTAACGAAAGAATAAACAATTGCTATGTTTTTTTATACAATATGATCGCTCTTTGTATATATGTATAATATTTAAATTTGTTGAATTGCATAATCGGAATTTTATCATATTAGAAAGTTGTATGACAAATTCACAATCGAATTCACTCTTCCAAATTTTTTGGGAACTAAAAACAAGCATATAGGACATGTAAGAATCACATGTATAAACAATGTGAGGCTCATATATCGTTGAGGAAAAAGGAAATACGAACAAATTCTTCTAAAAATAAAATAAAAAGAAAGACAAAGAAAATGATGGTCACCATTTCCTAGTTCATAATTAATATTTAAAGTTGGAGGAGGAGACAAGAATTGGTATCCTCGAATCGTACGGCATGCACCAACTATTGGGAGTCGACAGTACCAATTAAAAAAAATTGATTTTTTTATTAAATAAATTCAATTTTGATTATTATTGTTTAAAATATTATACAAAATTAAAATCTCAAAATAATATGTTTTGAAAATTTTGAAATTCAAAATTTACAATTATTTTTAAATATTTTATTAAGAATAGAGATTCAATTTATTTGATAAAAAAGCAATAAAAAACAAATATAAGGAGACGAAGAAACATCAGGAAGAGATTCCATGTCGAAATGGGGAAAGAGGACCCAGCTATTGATCTGTCAAAGCCAAACACAGGTAGCCCCACATGCGTATGGAACCACAAAGCTTTTTTATGAGTATATGAGGCTGAGAATCAAAGTGTTTGTCTAAGAACTTGTTGTGGTGGAAAAATGAAGGCAACATTGCTCCGTCAAAAACCAGTCTTTGCTAGAACAATAAGGGAAAGAAGATGACTGCCTTCTACAAGCCCCAGCATGCATCATTTCCAGTCACAGTGTCATCTGTACAAACCAAGATTCAATTAAAAATAAGAAGGTTAATTTCTTTTATACAAAATTATAATTTGTGCACAATGTTAGAAATATTTGAGAAGAAAGAAGAAATTTTTAGAAGAAAGAAGAGTATGACTTTGAAGGTGCGAATTAACATTTTCTTTAAGATATTTTCTCAAATTTCAGGATGTAATAAAGTTCTTAACAAACTTACCAAGATAGTGAAAACGATAATATAATAATATTGTTTATATTGTAAGTCAACGTATATATCTTTTAATGTAAAGACTTGTTTCCTTTCATAATATAATCCTTCAAACAATAGTTTTCTTTCATAATCTAACTACTCAAAAGTTATATTTAATAAGGTAACTTTTTCCTAACTCTTCAATCATGGCTTTTCATCAATAAGCACTTTTCATAAATAGTCTCTTACTTCTTTATTACATAAATAACCTTTTATTATTTAATCTAAAAATTAGAATAATAAAATTAATTGCTTATTAATGTTTTAGTTTAAGAGGCTAAATACCAACAGTAGCAAACTATCTAACAATCTCCCGTTAATTTGAAATGTTCGTTTTTTCCTATAATATATATTTATTTATGTCAATCTTTCATACAAACGAATATTTCACATACAAGAAAATATCTCTCAATTTAAATTATCAATTAACGAATGCATCTTAATTAGAACTCTAACAAAGTAGTTGGTGTCTGCAAATTGAACCTCGACACCTAGTGTTTCAATTGAAGATATACCACACATAATATTCATTGATATTTCTTTAAATAGCCGTTCACTTTAAGCAGCATAATGGCCATGTACTTATCATGTTTCATAAACGAGTTTAAAACTCTTCAATAGTAAAACTTTCTGGAGAATGTAAAATTTTCTTCTTATATCTATTCCAAGAAGGTGGAAGTTTGAAGAGAATTGCTCCCACTTGAAATGAGTCAGGAATTTTGATTTTTAGTTCACTTAATTTAAAGGCCAAAATTCATAACTCATATACTTGATCCATAATTGGTTTGGTATCTGTCATGGTAAACTCAAAATATCTCAATGCAAGGAATTTATCCATACATTTTTTCTCCTTTTTGTACATTTCCTCAAGTGTAGTCCAAATTTCCTTTATTAAAGTTTTATGTATGAAGAGATCATAAAATCAATCAGTAAAGGAATTGAGAATGTATCCAAGACATATAAACTAGTTATATTTCCATTTTTCCATGTTAACTAGTTGCAACAGCAGTTGTTGTTGTAGCAATATTTTCAGAAAGTGTTGCTTCTGTTGATGTGATCTCTTTTGGATTTGATAGTTAGTCTGTCTCAAGAACTTAACAAATTTTCAATGTGGTTAACAGGAATACCATCTTGTCCCTCCATCTAATGAAATTTGTTCCATTGAATCTATCGGATTTGATCACTTCTTGATTTTGGAGGTGAACATTCACGTTTGAATCCACCTTAGTCTCCATCATGAAACAATTGTGAAAAAGGTTTTAAGAAAATACCTTGAGATTCTTAGAAATATTTGAAAAGAAAGAAGAAATTTTTAGAAAAAAGAAGAGTATGACTTTGAAGGCATGAATTAACACTTTCCTTACAATATTTTCTTAAATTGCAGTATACAACAAAGTCTTTAACACACTTGTTAAGATAGTGAAAATGATAGTGTAATAACATTGTTTATATAATAAGCTAACGTACACCTCTTTCAATTTAAAGACTTGTTTCTTTTCATAATATAACTTTTCAAACAATATTTTTTTTTTCATAATCTAACTACTTAAAAATTATAATTAATATGGTAACTTTTTCCTAACTCTTTAGCCATGACTTTTCATCAATAAATGCTTGTCATAAATAATTTTTTATTATTTAATCTAAAAATTAAAATAATAAAATTAATTGCTTATTAATGCTTTTATTCGAGTCCAAATACCAATATTAACAAAGAATCTAACATACAAGCCAATAGTCTTGGCCAAATCACTTATTCTGGTCTAAGGCATGAAAATGTTTATTTTATTTTTATTTTTTTATGTGTTGCAATTAGTATCAAAAGTAGTGTTGTTTTTCCTCCTCACAATTATTTCATTTCGTGACAATTCCATATCTTCATCAAATGCAGTGATTGTACTTTTTGTTTTCTATTCGAGGTGGTCCCTTCTATATCAATGATATTGATGTAAAATTTGGCTTCAGTTGAATGTTTGTGAGATTCACACGTTTAATTTTAACACAAGTGGCATATGTTTGTTCCACTAGTAATTAATGATGGGGATTAGCTATTCTTTCTTACGAAAGTGTGCAGGGGTTTCAGGACTAGGAGCTATCATTTAGTGATAGTAATGTCTTGTGCACTTGGTGTGTTAACGAGGAGACAATGTCAGCTATCATAATTGAAGGATATGGTGTTCGATATTCAAATGGTGGAATCTTCCCTGGGCAACCCTACGTACAGTAGAGAAGTTTATCCAGGGGTGGGATGGTAATTGTCATAGAGACTGTCCAAAAAATTGGTGGATGGTCATTTGTGGTGTAACTTTTTAATTGAGATTGTATTTTTTGAGTTAAAATTTAATGTGAATGACTCGATAAAAGAAAAGTTGGATCCAATAAATTATGTGTATTACAAGATTCTTATGGATATATCTGTGGAGTGTTCTATATATGGCTCTTTTGGAGTCAAAGATTCTAATTATGTTAAAATTATGATAATCTTTTATACAGTTAAATTATTCTCAACCTCAACTTGGGTTGACTTACACAAACTCATCATTGAATCGGATTTCAATGTAGCCATTGCTTGGACAAAGGAGATTACCTCAAAACCTTGGAATCTTTTACAGTTTTTTAATGAAATTTATGCTTTGTGTATTGTGATCGGTGACATTTTCTTCCCCCAAACATACAGGGAAGCCAATTCAAGGGCTGATGTTTTAGCTAAATTTTCTGTTCACCGGAGTGAGATGTTCTCTATCCATGGTGGTGAACTTTTAGCTTCTCTCTCCTCCCTTGGGTATATCTCCTTGCTCCTGGTAAATGGTGCATTATGGATTTGTTGGACACGTGAAGGTTGGCTGCAAATGTAATGATGTGTTTCACTGGCCGCTGAGTGGGCGGTCATGCCTTAATTGGTGAATTGAATGGGGAGTCGCCATCAGATATTGGAATGTACGCCCCATCTGATTGGGTCTGTTGGCATTGCTGTGTTGCTTTTGAAGTCTAGTTTATTATACGATGTAATGGGACGAGGTTGTAAGGGGCAAGGCATTAAATATCCTAATGCTGTTTATATTTGATTGTTGTATTGTAAGGTGTTAGCTCTTGACTGACCCTATCTAGTTTCAGGTCTCCTGATCATTTTTGATGTTCTTCCTTGGCTCCGCCAAGCTGTTTTGTATCAGACTAATTTG